AGAAAGAAAAACTAAGTACGCAGTTTTACTAAAATTTACCCATAGTTTCGCGAATATATTCATATTTTTTTGTGTGTGTAAAATTTACTGTCGCACGGTGTAATAAGTAAATTACCCTACCTAAAATGTATACGATGAAAATACGTACTAAATAATTTTATGTTTTTTTTGTCATTTTGGGCTACAATACGCAACATGCCACAGCAATATTTTTTCCAAACAAGATTAGTCTAAATCATCCCTAATCCGTAGTTTTTCCCGCATTGCACCGAAATTTCGCAACTTTTGCTTCAGCTGCGTGCCACTTTCTACAACAGACGCTTTTATAAGCATGAAACGAGTAGCACAATATTTACTGCAACTGCATCAACAAAAGTGGCATGGAACAGCTGCACGCATGCAACACACTTCAAAATGCCACATTTAAAGCGAAGTAAATAAACAAAAAAAGTCAAGAGTGTTGTGCTTGTGAAAACAAAGAGTTTATGAAAATGAGTGAAATCGTTTGTTTTGATTGTTTACGCGAGTAATTAGCAGCCTTTTAAGCAAAAATCAATTCCTTGCAACTTCAGATTTGAATTTTGTAAGTGCTCTCAAAATGTTGGGCATAATTTAGGTTTATACTTTGCAGGCAAACCATTACTACATATTCAAGAAAATTTGTGTTTTAGAACTAGTACGACTAGGACGGAATCCGAAGGACCGTATCGGATGCGTGCTTCTCCATTTATTCAGTATACTAGCTTATACCCGCGGGTTTTACCCCGCGCTTTTATACAAATAGGAAAAATAATTTAATGATGTTAGATTTTATTTCCGTGTCCATTTCGTTATAGCTCGTTATTTTTTAAGCGAGTTTAGGTATTTAGGCCGTTTAAAACTATGAAATTATAAAATCTCGTCTGCGCGCTAGGCATACGTAATATATCAATCCCCCTAAGTTTACCTCAAAATGGTTCCAGGTATACGACGCGTGAACGTGTAACCTTCTTGGAGGTGCCACGGCGGGTTCTAATATTTCCAACTCAAATTTAGTAACCTGGCCTTGATAAAATACCACTTCTTATTACTGTAGCAAATGCCTCAAGAGAGCTTTAGATTATAAGGCCG